TTATCAGATTAATTGTTGCATTCTCAGTTTGCATATTCAGTTTCGAGCTATCCAGTATTTACAGAAACTCAGTCATAATGTGTTAACCACTTAATCTATTGGGAGTAGCATAATACCGAGTTGGACTAGGGTTTCAGCGTACCCATATAGTCCCAGAACTACGAGCCACGTAGGTGTAAGTCCCCTCCGTGGGCAACATCAGTTTAGTGATCACGCCAGTCATGCCTCTATACCTTTGGCCGGGTATATTGGGTCCTCTCGATGGGGCGTATACATCGGACTCCACATTTAGCTCATGTGGTTTTATGTCGGTTATTAGTAGCTCCCACAGTTCAATCAGACTCTATTGCATTGACCACATGTACAGTTCATTCAGTATTCAGTCAGTATGTTATAAATTGGTATTGCATTTAGTTAGCTCAGTATTCAGTATCTATATCATGTTCAGATTATTTCATTGTTTTATTGCTTTGTTCAGTTATATGTTCTTTCAGCTTTACTCTATCCTGCCTGCTCAGTACCTTTCAAGTACTGACGCATACGTGCGCTACATCTTCTCGTGATGTAGTTCAGGTTCTCAGTATCCAGATCACGCTTAGATCGGTTCTCGATCTTCAGTTCAGCAGCATCAATGGTGAGTCTTTATTCTTCGAGGACTAGTGACATGTTTATCTTTATCGCTTTTAGTCTTTAGTTTCAGTTTTGCTAGATCTAGTTGGGGCATGTCCCAACATTCCTAGTCAGTTTAGAGGCTTATTTCAGACACAGTTAGATTCAGCTTAGTGTTTTGAGTTTGATATTTCTTTTGTATTAAACTCTCAGATTTGATATATTCAGTTATAGTATATGGGTATTCCCCATCTTTTCAGATTTATTTATGAATTAGCTTCCGCATCAGTTTATTATCTTTAGTATGCTCATGATCATGCCAGTAGGGTTAGCTTGGGATCACTTGTGGTCCTAGGTCCCGTGTCCGCGTCTCGGGGGTAGCTCGGGGCGTGACAAAATACAAAAAAGTTTCTTCTTATGAGTTAACTATACACTATAAACATTTATCATTTTACTTTTCATATTTTGTTGTAACTCAAACACAATTTTAAAAGAACGTGATTTTTAATAATTCATATTCATTGTTATGAAGTACACATGCATTGCACGTGCCCAAAGTAGGAAGCTTTAAAATGCAAAATTGGATTCCAATTTGCCCCTACACTAAATTGTAATATTATAAATCATTTAATAAATCATTAAATAATAAAACATGTATCATATTACAAGTGGAAAGACCTTAAATGAAAAGTTACATTATCATCAATCATAATATCATACTTTTACATTTTTTTCACCATTTTTATAAATATTTACTGCCTTAATGACTTAATAAAATCCTCACACCATAAATGTTACAGTAAATTCCACTAGCAATATCTCTAAGAGAAAAGGTCAAATAACCACTTAATACCACATATAATCTAATTCAATTGGTTTGCATTTAAACACAATTAGGAGTTTTTTTTTTCTTTTTCCTTATCTTTTCAGGTAGACAAACGTGTAAATTATTATAAGTAGACAAATATATCTCAAATCTAATATAAAAATTGTGTGAAATGTTCTATAAAAAAAATATTTTATTCTTTTACATCATAGAGAAACATGTATGCATGTTTAATACAAGTAACTATTATAAATAACTATTATAAATAGTATCAAAACTACCTTAAGTTATTGAATTAAAGCCCAAGTATATTGAAAAATGAACCTGTAGCAGGCAGCACTGCCTGCTGTTATGTTGCCCTCCCTTTCATGTTTTGTTAAAAAATCGAGTGCCCTGCACTATCTGAATTGTATATTGCCCTGCCTGAATTGCATAAAAGCCTAAATATATTGCTCTGCATGAATTGAAATTTAAGCCTAAGTATATTGTAAAAATAATGAACCTGTTGCACTGCTTGTTTTGTGTTAGGTTGCACTCCTTGTTTGGCTTTGCTTCCTGTTAGGTTGCGTAAGTTAGGTTGTTGTTATGTTGCACTGCACTGCCTGAATTGAATTAAAGCCTAAGCATATTGCCTTGCCGGAATTGAATTAAAGCCTAAGTATATTGCCCTGCCTTAATTGAATTAAAGCCTAAAAAGTCTGTTTTATGTTAGGTTGCACCTCCCGTTATGCACTTTCCTGTTAGGTTGCACTTCTTGTTAGGTTGCAATTCTATTAAAGTCACAGTATCCGTAATTCAGTGCCAAAAGAGAAAGAAACAAACTTTATAATTGAACATTTCGAAAAAAGAAGACATCGAATTCTAAGAGTAGAAAAAATATTGTACATTTGAGAAATACTTTTGTGTTACTGTAACTCTTTGTTTTGGTTAAAATATTCTTTGGAATTCGTTTTTGTTCGTTTGAAATCACTCACCTTCGATTGAAATTCTTCATGTTTGATTGAAATTCGAAGATCTAAAAATAAATAGTACTTTTTAGCTATTTTTACTTGTCTATTGTTCTAGAAATACTTTTCTACTTTTTCTGGTTGCTTTTGGTAAATAATAAAATTTTATAATAATGTGCTCAAATAGGTCAAAGAAAAGGAGTTGACAAGTTATTTGAATAAAGAACAAACTTATTGCCGCAATTCGAGTTCTAGTTTAAATAAATAGGATAGTAGCAAGTCCATGATAAATTTTGGTCAGATTGTATTCCATCATACATACTTGTATTAATATCATCTATCTTCGCGATTGTTGAATACTTTATTTTCCGCGCGATTGTTGAATACTTTATTTTCCGTGCCCATTGGTAAAGGCTGACTCTAACCACCCGCGACATCTCCTCTTCCTCGGCTTATTTGATCACCTTGAGATAGCAGAATTGTTATTTTTTTCATCCAAGTACAATGTTGTGACAACGAGGTGTATCCAATCCCAAAATTAAGGGGTTCCGAATGTTGGGGTTTATTTGTCCTGATTTCTTACCATAAATAGGTTTTCCTTTTAGGAAAAAGTTTTAATAGTTTGACTATTTTTTTTTCTTGTAGGAAAGGTTTTAGGACTCTATAAATATATGTTTGTTCCTTCTAACTTAATCAACATTCACAATGTAGTCCTAGGGTTTTGAGAGTTTCGGTTATGGGGAAGAATTTGTGAACCTACTTGTATTCCGAGTGAATTGGTTGAAGTTATTTCTCTCTATATTTTGTACTCTCATATAAATATATAGTGGATTGCTCATCTCCTTTGTGGATGTAGGTCGATTGACCGAACCACGTTAAATCTGTGTCTTTTGATATATTTCTCGTTTGTCTTCTTACTCATGGTCTTTCGGGGTTTGCTTTGTTAGCTTCCTCATTATACATGCTTATTTTCGGTCCTAACACCGAATTCAAAGTTCAAAAGCTAATTGGTTACTCATAAGTCATTGGCATGCTTTTTTTTTCCAATCTTATTATTAATTGTTGGGAAACCAATATTAATATCTCAAAAATACAATATTTATTCTTGAGAACGTTCAACTCATGCAGTAATCTGATATTTTCAAATATAATATTGTCTACCTACTAGGAGATAATATTGGATATGAAGATCCAAGCTATGAGCATATTGTGGAGTTGTGAATCTAGTTACGTGAACACTGCTTTTGAAGCTATGAAAGAATGATAGCTCCTTTGATATATTCTCCGGGAGTTTATCTTTCCCTTACAATGAAGGGAGAGATATGGTTGGCTAAGGGGATGGTTGATGAGAGATAAAGATATTGATTGTTATTGGACCATTAACGGTAGTCTTTAAAATATAATTAATCAATTCTTGTTTTAACGGATGTGTGTATCTAATTATATCTTTTAAAATATAGGGATAAGATACAAGTATCTCCTAAACTATGACCGAAATCGTAGAGACACACCTTAAGATCCTATATATTACCCCAAATCTATTTTTTTGGTAATTTTGTACACCTTTTATACTTACGTGACATTCAAACATCTCCACGCATCTCATGGAGCCACGTAAGCCAAAAAGTGTACAAAATTACCAAAAAATGAGTTCGGGGTATTAGGACCTTATTTAGTTAAGGTGTGTCTTTGAGATTTCGATCATAGTCTAGGGGGGCTACTTATGCCTTATCCCTAAAATATATGATATAAAGTATTAAAATGGTATTATATGTTATTTTTTGAAAGTAGAGGTAATGTAAGTATATATAGTAGTGACGTATGTCTAGTTCGGTGGTTTTTCCTACAAAAAATTGTTTACTTGTGAGGTCCATGTTTATGCATATAAAATAATTTATTTTTGTCATGTCAAATTTATTTTAATAATAAATGTGCTTAAGTGATTTTTGAAGATAAAAATTAGTTGAGTGATTTTATTGATACAAAATAAAGTTCAATGACTTTGCTAAAAAAAAATTCATAGTTGAATGACTTTTTAAGATATTAACTCATAGTTCGGTGGTTTTTCCTACAAAAAATTGTTTACTTGTGAGGTCCATGTTTATGCATATAAAATAATTTATTTTTGTCATGTCAAATTTATTTTAATAATAAATGTGCTTAAGTGATTTTTGAAGATAAAAATTAGTTGAGTGATTTTATTGATACAAAATAAAATTCAATGACTTTGCTAAAAAAAAATTCATAGTTGAATGACTTTATAAGATATAACTCATAGTTTTGGGCACCCTTTTGCTTAATTTTAGTGGGTCTCTTGAGTTAACCTTGTAATTTGCATTGATTTCTAAGCTACTAAATGAAATACTTGATAGTCATCCATCTTCTTATATTATCCTCATGTTTTATACCTCTTATGTGTATTTATTCTAAGCATTTTATGTGATAAATAGATGTTTCAAGCTGGTACTTTACTTATTTCATAATAGCATTTAATTGTCATTACAGGTTGAATGGTAGATAGCAAAATGATTGGGTTGATATTATAAATTATATGTGACCTATGAAGCTCATTATGGTTGTAAAGGTGGTTGTCAGTTGAATGATGGTTGTATTTAGACCTCCAAAATTAATCGTTTCACCTTCTGATTGCTGAGTGTCTGGTGATTTGTCCGACCAGTTCTATAAGTGATGGGTGCATATTCTGGTAATTGTGAAATATGAGCTGGTGATGTCCACTTAGTGGCTGATGGTGGAAGTGGCTCAACCACTCGAGCAAGGCTCACTTGTGGTAAATCTTGGCAGATATATTGTTACGAGACGGAAAAGATCAATTCTTCTTTGTTTTGGGTTTATTTTTTCTTTGGTGTTTTATTGCAGCTAATAGTGCCGCTTATTCAATTTTGACAAATTGAAGTAAGGATTGCAGCTAAGAGAAGAATGTGTTTAGCAACATGAACTATTGAAAATAGAGCAATTATGTCCTTTGTTTGCTTTTTGGCACAAAAATGTCTTTTCTCTTGGCCATATGGATTTATAAATTAGAGCAAACGTATGCTTGTTTGATTTACCTATTTCGTTAAATTGACATGATTTTGTGCGGCTTCAATTGTTCATAACATGAGTTTGTGCTATATCCATAATAAATAAAACCTATCTTGTTAAATTGCTCACAAATCTCACCCAATGGTATGATTTTGTTCTTGTTCAATGGTCACAAGATCCTGCTAGATTGACATAATTGCGTTATATACATTCTACCTATCTTGTAAAATTATTCACAAATCTCATCGGAATGACGCAATATTTCTGTGTTGTTAGACAAGGTGTTCTTTGAATGTGCAATATATATCAAACCACTCCAGATGACCTCAAATTTGAAACAAAACCTCACACACACCAACATAAAACGATCCTCAATCACCAATTTACTTTATACACTGGTTGGTCAGTTTTACATATAAAAAATAATTCCGCATGAATAATGTTGTGTTTGCTGCAGTACTATGCTTATACTTGCATGGATTCTGGATAAAACTATTTCAACATAATTACGTCTAAAAGTAGGTAATCCCCACATAGGTTTCCATGTATTATTAGACGGCAGTGCATTTCTCTAGCCTAAACTATTCCATAACAATTAATACAATTATAAAGGGACATCATGGACATAACAAACAAAAACAATCCACTTGAAATGAAATTCACTTGCAACTGCTGAGAAATTAGTCAACAACATCAAGGGAATTGCTACAAAAACTTCCCCTTTTTGAGAATTTCAGTTTTGACTTAATACGTAGACTACGTATATATGTAAGGAAATATTCAGATTAATGGAGGCATACAAGTTAAATCAAAAGCTATACAGATTCTAAGCAATGGAGCATGGTGAAGCTTAGTTGCATAGGGTTTTTCCCGGATTATGGGGTTTCAGGCCACCATCTACTTATAGTATAGGTATAGGTTTAAAAGGGACGAGAAAAGCTGTACAAGTTTCCGGGGTATTATCTGGTCCTAATATTTCTAGCACACCTACTGATATGCTGACACAGATATATTATATATACATGCATTTCTACACTATGAAGATGAAAAGTGACTAGTCCTGGTTCTTGCCACTTGTACCTTGTGAGGGTTCTGCCATTTTAGCAATGGAAAATGATAGCTTTCTTGAAATGATATTAGTTGGTCATAACATCCTTCATTTTGCTACCATCATTGTTTATTGCTTCACTGCTCACTGCTTCCAAAAGTTGAAGTAGGCATCTGCTGAGGAGACCAGGAGCAAATTCCTTCACTGCTGACCACATCGGCAAAAGGAGAATATGGTCTAGTCACTTTTGTTTTAACCAATGCCTGAACATCAGGGGAAAACAATTACACAAACATATATACATGAATAGACAAATAGTAGCAGCAATAATCACATAATTGTTGTGCATCTTCCAAGTATTCAGTAGCTTTTGCTACTCTGGAGTTACCATAGTCCTTGATCACAAAGTACTCATACTTTCTTACACAAATCATAAGCATATACCTTTGACTGACTTGGTCCATAAACGCTCCTTGCTTGCTCAATAGAAGAATAAACTTCGAACGCTTGATTCGAATCACGATGACACTTTATAACACGAACTTGGTCCTTTGCCTCAAGAGTTCGACTTTGAAGATACATTATAAGCCGTGAAGGGGGACCATTTGGAAGATCTTTCTTTCCATGAGTTAATTCCATCGTCACCAGGTCTTCCAAGAGGACATCCCATAAAACTGCACATGGATCTCTAGCCGGATTGAACTTCTTTTGTGCAATAAGATTGGAAGGTTGCTGGCAACAAATAGTAGAAAATATTTTCAGTGAGGGGACAAGTGCATGAAATAGTGCATAACTGGGATGGCAAAAGAGTTCTAATCCCCTTTCAATTATTCAAGTGAACTGACTATTCACTTACTTGCAACAGGATGACCCTCCGGTGAGTAACAAGAATTATTCTTCCTTTAGGCAGCATGAAATGATCTTCATAGGCATCAGTCAAGGCAAACTTTGCACGTACTCTGAAAAGGTCAACCTGGCCAAAAAATGATCCAGATTCTGCAAGTTGCAAGATTGCCTTCACAGAAGGAAGCGAATAACTATTAGTTTATACTTGACTGTAAATCTCAACCCAAAAATACGACCATTAAAGTAACAAGCAAACATGAGGAACAAGGAAACATGTACAAGAAGCGCTTGAAAGACTTCATTCTTGTAATCCACAAAGAAGAAAGTTGATCTGGTAGCAACAGTTCTATCCGCATTTTACATATATCAATCGAGTAGCACCGTTGTCTCAGTTTCGCCTTTTGCATTAACACACTTTTTGTTGGTACTGTTGAGAATTAGGAAATTATTTATTGGCTAAAGCCTATTCCTTGTAAATATAGAAATTAGGATTACTTGTAAACATTATTATATAAACCCCAAAATGCTTGAGGGAATAAGCAAGCAATTCATTTTCAAATCTATTCTTTCTCATTATTATATAAACCCCAAAATGCTTGAGGGAAATAAGCAAGCAATTCATTCTCAAATCTATTCTTTCTTTGCAGGTACACCCACAATTTGTGCAAGCTACTTAGCTCATCACTATACCCATTTATTTTTCCTTTTAATTGGAAGATAATTTGGTTCAGACCCAACAATCAATTTGACGTTTTCTTATAACACCAATGCTGGCATATAGGGGTTGGCTACGGGCGGCACCCTATAACTATAACATATGCGTGTGTAGATACTTGATAACACAGAGGAAGTTGGAATAAAGATGGCAAACCTATATGGCATAACTTAGTTCATCTTAATAAACATAAGAACATGGTGCTGTTAAAGGTGAAGTGATGAAAAGCACTAAATTCTGCTCGGGCTTAAAGCAAAAACCAGAACTGACATTTCGGTAACATTTTAGGCCGCAAAATATGTATTTTCCCCAAAAATAAACAACAATATGGACAGAAGAAATGGGAGTTTTTTGAACCCTTAATCATGTACATTTTTTTTTACTTTTTAAATTTGCATCTTAATCACTTATTTTTTATGAATTACCCCTTCAACTATTCACTTCTTTGCAAATTTATTCTGGAGTTCATTTTATGAGGCGTAGTAGGAATTACATAATTAAAATAAGATTGAGTTGGAACGGAGGAAGAAGGGTCGGATATTATCTAGGAAAACTCACGATAATTGGGTCTATGGATACTCATGGTATTTAAGAAAGCAATAACCCAACAAATCTGTTAGAATAGGAATAGGAACAAGAATAATATATACTTCGAATAGGAATGTGAATAGAAATAGTTATAGAATCCTACTTATAAAAGGATTATATTGTAGTGCCCTAGTTGGAAAAGGAGCCTAAAGTAGTGTCTATAAATAGAGTCTCAATGTAATAATGTAGATACACAATTCAATAATATTATTGTCCCATATTTCTCACAATTGTACAAAAGAATCACTGGCTAGTGGCTATACACACGGGGATTTTACAAATGAAATTTGAGATCTCTCCAGAAACCATAAACTAGAAGACTTGCACGGGAATGGTCACTATTCACAACAACAACATACCCAGTGCAGTCCCACAATTGGGTTCTACAGAAAGTAGGATATATGCAGGCAGACCTTTGAGGGGGTAGAGAGGCCGTTTCAAATAGACCCTCGGCTCAAAAAAGAGTAATCAAAGCAGGATAGGAAGGAAAATAACGACAACAAAATAGCGAGATAGACAACACAAATGACGCGATAGTAGAAGTAAGAATTGAAAAATAAGATATGACACAAATACTAAATAATACAACTAAGGAAGGAAAAAGGGAGACTAGCCCCTTTCCTTAATAATGAATATATCACTTTGTCACCTAGATCTAATAGTTTATACAACTTAAAAAAAATTCATCAAATTGAACTTGCTTCAAGTTTAAATTTCCATGTAATGTTTCCTCAATCAAACTAATTTTTCAACTGCTAATAAATATTTTCCACTACTACAAATATATACACAAGTGAGTTAACATCTTAAACTGTCTTCAATCAAATGGTATCACATAAAATGAATAGAGGCAATATAAAGTTCTCGTGAAAATCAGCTCTGTGGTTCTTCAAGTAGATTACTGGAATTTACATGTATATATTAACACTTCATCAGAGTAACTGAAGAATTACCAGAAACTAACAGCTCAGATAATAAATCAGTTGATCAGATGCAACCACCCATTGAAAAATATTTACTGCTTGCACCCTACTATTAACACAATTATGCACCTCTGGTTTGACTAGAAATAAGGCTTAAAGAGATGGAAACAAAATGTGTCCACATAACTTGAAAATATTTTGATAACTATACTGCTACTGCATTTCTGGTCTGCACTAGAAATAAGACTTAAAGAGATGAAATAAAATATGTATAGAACTTGGAAAGCATTTTGATAACTTTAAAGTTACTAGTGTGGTTCCCACCGAACATCTAGAGATTCTTTTATTACTTGTTCCCTATTGAGAAATGATGCTGACTTTAGGACTTTTATTTGACTCTTATACTATGGCTTTAGGAAAATCTCAGCAACATGCCTTAGATGGTTGCTTACCTTCTTCTGTAGCAAAATTAGTACAACACGAAGCTTCAGATTGCTCTATAT